AGTACTCCATGCACGTGGACTTGCCGGTGCCGCACCCCTTCGGGCCGACCACGCAGTAGCCTGCCTGCGAGTCCACTCCGGCGGCGGCGGGGGCGGCGGCGAGGGCGGCGGGGACGGCGGCGGCGGCGGGGACGGCAGCGGCGGGGACGGCGGCGGCGGGGACGGCGGCGGCGAAGGAGGGGGCCAGATGATCAGCGGGGGCGGCGGGGGCGGCGGCGGCGGCGGGGACGGCAGCGGCGGGGACGGCGGCGATGGCGGTGGTTGGGATGGCGGCGACACTTCCGAGTTCCGAGACACTTCCGAGTTCCGAGATGTCGAGGGCGGCGGCTCGGATGGAGGGGACAGGCGAGGCGCGGATGGCGGTGCGCCCGGGAGGGGCGGGGGCGGCGTTGGAGCTGCTTGGGGCGGGAAGGGTGGTGCCCCTGGCGGGGCGGGCGGGGAGCGTGGCGGCGCGGGCGGGGAGCGTGGCGGGGGCGTCGGAGCCTTGCTGGGCGGGTACGGCGGGAGTGACGGAGGCGAGGGCGGCGTCGAGGGCGGCGGCTCGGACGGAGGGGACAGGGGAGGCGCGGATGGCGGTGCGCCCGGGGGGGGCAAGGGTGGTGCCCCTGGCGGGGAGGGCGGAAAGCGTGGCGGGGGCGTCGGAGCCTTGCTGGGCGGGTACGGCGGGAGTGACGGAGGGCTCGGAGGCGGAGCCCCCGGAGGGAAAGGCGGAATTTGTGGAGCCGGAATTTGTGTGGGCGACGGGGGCGTGGATATTCGGAACGACCGGCCGACGTCGGCGGGGCCTTCGGGGACCTTGCCGCACTCGAGGGGCAGGGTGGGTCGAGGGGCATTCACGCAATGTTCCCCCCACCCCGGCAGCCCGCAGTACTGGATTTTGTTCGCTTTGGAGATGAAGACCTTGCACGCCCGCCCGTCGACCGGGACGTCTTTGCACTTCTTCCTGTGATTTGTGATGTCTTCGTAGTCAACGACGTCGCACCCGGTGGGGTACGCGGCCCCTCCGGCGGCCGTGGCGACGATCAGCGCGACACTGGCGACAGCGGGCATGGCGGGATTTTTCTGGATTCTCGATTCTCAGACACGATTTTCGTGCTCGGCGTGCAAGAATCGTGACTTCGGCGGTCAGCAAAAAAAATAAAACAAGGGCTCGCTCGGAGGCTGGAGTACCCAGGGGAGGGGACGAGGGGACCGAGGGGGGGGAGGTGCCGTGGGAAGACAGCGGGCCATCCGGCGAACCGGAAGGCCAGGACCGGAGGGCCCCGGGTGAGGCCTGGAGTCAACTGTCGGGGGAGGGGAGGGTCGATTATTCACAGATAAGATCGCCTACAGTGGGTTGCGGGCATTGAGAAAACAGGATTTCGCGGCACGCCGCCGTTTCTAAGCCTTTCCACGCCGTGGTTTCTCTCACTCCCAAGCAAGGTGGGTCAAAGGTCAGAGCCGGCCCGGATAGTCGGAAGAGGTGAGCTGCGGTCCCGGATACGATGCCGCCAGCCAGTCTGCCACCGACTCAAGACAACAACAAGGGGTCCAAGGTCGACCTCGCGGGGAACCCCACGCTGGCCCGGGAGGATGCGATGAGGTGAATGAAGTCAAGCTCTGGACGCCCCTCCTCAAGACCTCCTCGGCGGGCGTTGGTAACGCCTCGAGCGGCGGCACGCCCGCCTCCGTTGGCCACTCCTACGCCTTCGGCAACACCGAAGAGAAGGCCCGCCGCCTAAACATGGGCTGCAAGGCGCGCGGGCAGCCCGGCCAACCCTTCTCCCACAAGACCGGCCACGGCTACGTCAAGGCGCATCGCGGTTTCTACCACGACGCGATTTGTCAAGCGCAACAACTTCAACCTGCTGCTCCACGAGACGTTCGGCGGCGGCTTCTGACTCGCCCACCGCCGTTCTCAAGCTGCGCCGCCTCGCGCGCAAAGTCGCGCGCGGCAGCGTTGACCGCACAGCCTACTCGCCCAAGTACTCGCTCTCTTTTATGTCCCACCATGCAGAGCGCATCTCTCTCTCTGTTGTGCGAGGCGTGAACCGCGCCATTCGCTCTCACCTGGCAACCCTGTCTGCACGCCTCGCGCGCGCGTGAACAGGGCTCCAGGCCCCAAATGACGAGTGAGTGTTAGAGTTGTTTGGTCTAGGCGGGGCGGGGGTCGGGGGGGCGGCGGGCGCGGGTGCGAGGTGCGGTGCGGTGCGTGCAATCGTGTGTTTGGCGTCATGTCGTGTGTGCCTTCGCTTCCTTGTTCCTATTAACAACGAAGTCTAGCTCAAAAAAAATCTCAAGACGCACACGCCTCCGTCCACACCGCTCACTCAGAACACCGAAGACTGGCGACAGCGCCCTTTTATTGGTTTCTTGGAGGCGACTCGTGACTTCGGCGGGCGCGACTCGTGCAAACAACAACAACAAACTCGCAAACAAACAAAACACAAAGTCGACTTGATTGATTGATTGATGGGAAGGCGAAACACAGTCCGACCAACGACTGGGACACCAACGCGGTATGGGTGGAGTCGACTCGTGACTTCGGCGGGCAACAAGAAAAAGTGAACATAAAATCTCGGCAAGAGAGCCTAGAGTCTCTTGCTAGAGCGGTGCAGGCCGCACAGCGCGAACTCGCCGTACTGAGCCTAGCGCAGGGCCCTAGACGGGCATTTTCTTTTTTCTTCGGCAAGGCGCTTTTGGAGGTGAGGGATTCAGCCGATGCCTCGCGACGACGACCGGAGGAGAAGGCACGGCGGCGGCGGCGGCCGCGGAGGTCGAAGGGACGACGAGGACGACGAGGAGGTCGAGGAGTCCGGCATCCAGGCGCAGCTGCCGACGCGGCTGCAGCTCGGCGTGCTGGTGGGCACAGGTGTCTCTGTCTGCCGGGCCCGCATCTTTCCAGCTACCCGTGCGCTCACGCTCGCGGCCTGCCGCCTCCACAGCGCTCGTGCTGACCCTGGTGGCCGACTTTACCAGCTCGACCTGCCCCGTGACGAGCGCCTACCTGTCATACGCGCGGATCGACTTTTCGATCATGGAGAACGTCACCGTGCAGCAGCAGAGCTATGAGGAGGGGCTCTCCTTCGAACTGCCGGCGCAGATGATGTTCCTCGCCGCCTGCGCCATGGCGGCCTTCGGCGTGTGCGCCCTCGCTGCCGGCGCGCGCGCCGCCGGCGCCGGCACCGAAAACGGTGCACTCTACTTCATGATCGAGGGCTGGAGTCCTTAGGTGCGCGCGTGGCCGACGACATCTTTGCGATGGTGTTCGCCGTCGGCACCGGCACTGTGATGGTTGGCTGGCTTGCGCCGCTACTACTCGCCTCCGAGCACCTCGAGGTGCAGCAGTAGCGACTGGTTAACTAGTGAACGAGCGAGCCGCGCGTGATCGATCCGACCGCCACATCTGCCTCCCACATCTGCCTCCCACGACTGTAGCTCCTTAGCGACTAGTGAACGAGCGAGCCGCGCGTGATCGATCCGACCGCCACATCTGCCTCCCACATCTGCCTCCCACGACTGTAGCTCCTTAGCGACTAGTGAACGAGCGAGCCGCGCGTGATCGATCCGACCGCCACATCTGCCTCCCACATCTGCCTCCCACGACTGTAGCTCCTTAGCGACTAGTGAACGAGCGAGCCGCGCGTGATCGATCCGACCGCCACATCTGCCTCCCGCATCTGCCTCCCACGACTGTAGCTCCTTAGCGACTAGTGAACGAGCGAGCCGCGGAGCGGGGGACGACCCGGGGCGCCCGTCCATTTCGTAGTGACTCCGTCGCCATAGCTGCTCAGGTGGAGCTCGATATCTCCCCCATATCTCCCCCATATCTCCCCCATATCTCCCCCATAACTGCTCAGGTGGAGCTCGATATCTCCCCCATATCTCCCCCATATCTCCCCCATATCTCCCCCATATCTCCTCAGGTGGAGCTCGTGACGACGTGGGGGACGACGGCCTGGTGGGGCAACCGCACCGCCGACCCTGTCGTGCACGGCGCCGAGTACAAGTTTCCACTCGACCTGACCTGCGGAGGTGGGGGAGATATGGGGGAGATATGGGGGAGATATGGGGGAGATATGGGGCAGATATTGAGCTCCTCTGGAGCAGATATGGGGGAGATATGGGGGAGATAT